ACAGGTTCCTGGCAGTGCCTAGGAGGAGGTGTCTGGTGACAGTGGTGACAGCAAGGGAGTGCCACACACATACTTGCAGACTGTGTGATTCTGGGCCCTCTGGGGATGTGGCCCACCCTGATGGATTTGGGACAGAGACAAGGGTATCCAGCATCCCTGGGGGTCCTATAACCATAATGGCCTGAGGGAGTTGAAGGAAGGGCAGGACCTCATCAGTTTGGGAGGAACCCAGCTGTCATGCATGTGGCAGACTTAGTGTGGGCAAGACTGGGCCACTGCATACCATCTTTGGTGGGTCTGGCTTCCCTGAATCATCCACTGCCCTGTAGTTCCCTGGACCTTGGGGCTCTGAAGGATGGTTCTATGAGGAACAAGTGTAGCCATTGATTTCATTCCTGAGATGGAAAAGTCTCCATGAGACGTCTTGAGGAAGGTCTTTGTAGGCCAAAGAGAAACTTGTGGAACACTGGACCCTTGGGAAAAATCAGGCCAGTGGGGATGCAGGAACCAGCCAGAGAAGACCTTGCAGGCCAAACTAAGCAAGGTGAACCACTGGAGAGCCTTAGAAAGACCTTAAGTTGGAGGAGTCTTATAGGAGTCCACTCTAGGGCAGTGTGGTGAATGGAAGGGAGGGAGCCAGACCAGGACCCCTTCTAGATGTCCAGGTGAGAGGTGATGGTGGCCTGAACCAAGGTGAGGGAAGTTGGAGTGGAGAGGAAGGCACAGGCTGCAGAAGTTCTTGGAAGTTGGAAGGAACTGGACTTGGTGCTTGGGTGCCATGAGGAGTGACTAAGAGGGCTAACCTCGCACCCCAAAGGACTGAGTGGAATGATACTGTTTGTGGGTGAGGAGAAGATGAGCTCAGACTGGGACATGGGAAGTTTGAATTGAGTCACCGGGGCGGAGCTGTCCACTGGGCAGTTGGATATGCAGTGGGGGTGGGGCAGAGACCCTGCTGGAGACAGAGGTTTGGAAGTCCAGGGTATGAGAGGGGACTGAAGCCACAGAAAGGAGACCCCAGGAGGAAGGGGAGAGAGGAGGTCCAGGCCAGCGCAGGGAAGCATCAAGTCTAGGGAGAGCTGCCTGAACGCTGGATAGTGGGGGCCGCCTAGAGGAGTCCAGGAACCGTCCCCTCCAGCCCGCTAGATCGCACACACTCAGACCTGCACACCCACAGGTCCAGTCCCACGTCTATGCGCTCCCCTGCAGGCTCACATCCTCTGCACACCCCTGCTCACCTCGACCGGACCCTGGCAACGGAGGGCTCACCCCACAACCCTCTCCTGCTCTTCCCTCTTTGGCCTCACTCCTCCCAACAGACCCTAGAGTTAATCCTCCTCCTCTCCCTCCCCCTCCCCCAGATTAGGGGCGCCGCCCCCCTTTGTGTGTCCCAGGGCCTGAGGCGAAAGCCCTGGAAGGCTGCAGGCCTTCCAAGCAGCTGAGGTGGGGAGGGCGGCAGGGGCGCGGGGAGGAGACACAGAAGCGGGGAGGGATCCCGGCTGCAGCTGTCCCGCGAGGGCCCGGGACAAAGGGCCTGCTGGCGGCCGCCCTGAGCCGTTTTCATGCTTGTTGGGATTAAGCGCAGGAAACCTCGCGGGCCGCCGTGCGGATCAGCGGTTGGGGGCGCGCCTGACCCACGCTTTGTGAGGGGACCCCCGGTCCGCGAGGCTCCGAGGAGACCGCCCCTTTGTCTGCGCCTTTGCGGGGAGGGGAATGAGCCCCACCCGGACACCGCAGAACACCAGCTGAACGCCCGCCTCCAGCCCTCTCCTTCCCCGGCGCGGAGCCCGGGAGCTCCGCCTTGCACTCCCTTAGGGAGCAAGGTCACGGCCCCAGCCCGAGCCTCTCGGACTGCCCCCCTCTCATGGTCCGTGACCTCTTTCTCGCCGGGTAGGTGGGGGATGCAGGCCCTCGGGGACCTAGCCCCTCCCGGCCCTGACCCCGTGCGCCCTCCCTCCCCGCTCCCGCCAGTCCCACAACCAGACACCTCTCTCCTGGAACCTACTGGTGATAAATGAGTGGAGCGACCCGAGGATCCACCGGTTCTGAGCTCTGAGCGGAGGGGTCTGAGGGGAGGAGCGGGCGAGGATCACGTTTGGCTGGAGCAGCCTTCAGGCCCGGAGAGAAGCAGACACACCGATGGCTGTGCCATGCGCGGGCTGGGAGAGTCTCAGGGGTTTGCCGGGTGTGAAAACCGCCCCAGGCTGGTGCAGCCTTATTTCTGAGAGGGGTGGGGGGGAGCAGGGAGCAGGCATGCAGGTCTGTGTCCGGGAGTGTGCATCTGTGAGTGTGAGAGCTTGTGCATGCATGTGCACACGTGCTTAGGAGTGGTGTCCAGTGGCCTTGTGTTTGTGGGTGCCTGGTGGGTGTGGCTTTGAGGCCTGGTTCAGCCCCCAGAGCATCCCCATGTTATGCTCCTCTTCTCACCACCAGCATCCACCAACTCATGGGTCTGGGGCTCTAGGTGCTTTAGCAACACTTTTTAATATATAGCACAATTGCCAGGGGCATCTCCTACCTCCGATGACCTCCCACTCCTCGCTTAATCAAATAATAACATGTATGGACTATTTCCTATGTGCCAGGCTCAGGCCTGAGGCCTTAACACGTATAAACTCTCGCATAACCCATTTCACAGTTGAGAAAAGTGAGGCACAGCTACTACTAAATGGAGGATCCAAGACTTCTGGGTTCAGTAGGCACTAGAAATCACTGTTCTCTGTTGCCTCAACTTCTACCCATTCTCCAGGCTCCTCTTCCTCCAAGGAGCCTTCCTTGATCAGGCAATCTCGCTTTCCTGCTCCTGTCACCTGTTCATGCTGTGGTTAAGAGACACTAACACTAGATTTTGGATGAAGCTTGTAGGAAACAGGCTGGAATACAAGTTAAGTCATGGGCTGCCACCAGGAATCATTCAATCTACACAGAACGCTGATATTCCAGGGGAGCCCACCCATCACAGTCTGAAGCTTCCTTATCCCCCTCTTTACTTCCTTCTTCAGTTGCCAGTTCACTCCCTGCACCCCAGGCTCTGGCCAGGCTTGATGGGACTGAACTATTTGGAGTCCCTGAAGAGAGTTTCCCATGGACCCAGCCCCTTCTCTCTCAAGAGGATCCAGCCCTGCACAACTTCCCCGCCAATCCCTTCCCTTGGTCCTGTCCCCGGGGGGTGTTCAGGCCCCTGCTGTGTGCCCTGCCCCTGTGGGTCTCTAGATCTCAGCTTCAATCTCCTCCCTCAATCCTCCTACTAAATGAGACTCCTCCGGTAGCACTAGAACCCTGAGTTAGACTTCCCTGCTTCTGGTCATGAGATTTCATTCTGGTGGGAAGGAAAAGGTGGCTACCTGGCTAACCCCTCCTACTAAATAAATCTTCCCTACTCCCGCTCACTGTCCGGGGGACTAAGAAATCCCCACCCAATGATTTTAAAATAAACTCCTAAATATATCAAGTCTCAGGCAAAGATCTGCACAGAGGGCTGGGAGCAGCTGACCAGCTTCCCCTCTTCTGAGCTCAGAATGGCCTGTGCACTAATGTTCTGGATGAAAGTCTCATCTATCAGTGCAGGCAAGACCTGCTCAAGGGCAGGAGTGGGCTCGGCAGGACTGTGAATGGAGGTGCTCAATCCTTTTTAATGCATCCAAAGCATTTTCAGGTCCATTTCCTCATTCAAGCCATACACTTGCCACAGGTGGAGGCAGTCTATAGAGTCCTGGACCAGGTCTGCCCGTGACAAAAAGCATAGCAGTACCTCGGCCCTTCCCACAAGCAGGCCCAATGGCCAGCGTGCCTGATGGGAAACGGCAATTCTTGGCTGGGTTGGTTCATCCCCTGGGGTCTCTGCTGACCTGGCTGTGGCTCTGACTTCGTGCTCTTGCTCAGCTCCTCCCCTCACCCACCATTACACCGGGGGCTGGGCCTGTCCTTAGGGGCTCTTGATGATCGGCAGGGGTCCTATAGACCTACAACTCACCACACTGGTCCCTTGGTCTGGCCTTTATCTTTTTCTCAGCCCAGAAAGCTCTTTTATGGAAAGGAATAATAGGCAGCTTAATTTTTAAAAAGTTTTTTTAAAAGTTGCCTTTCATTTTAGATTCAAATTTCTTAAGGATATTTTGATTTTTTTTTCCCTGTGGAAAAGTGAAATATGCATCCCAAAAGCATTATTTATAATTACAGTATATTTATGACTCTCATTTACTATGTGCCATGTACAGCTATCAGTATTTTTGCATATTATATATTAATTTCGTCCTTGAGACAACCCTATGAGGTAGTTACAACCCTATATTTTCATTTTAAAATGAGGAAATTGAGATACAGTACAGAGAAGTTAATTGACTTGCCCAAGGTCATAGAGACAGAGAACAATGGTGCTAACTTCCAAAACCAGGGGTCTGGCCTCACAGTCTGTGCTCTGAACCATTGGCTGTGCTCAGAAGAGGCTTCACACGTTTGGGAAGGGGTCCTTCCTGAAAATTCCCCCTCTTGTGCTCTGAGGGCTTCATGTCTCATTGTTAGAAATCTCCATGGTTAAGGTTATTCAAATTTAGCTATAGCTCTTTGCTAGAACAAGATCTCTTAATAAGTGGAATTTGTCAAAACTGGTTCAATACTGTTTCTGTATAAATATCAAATGTAGAGATAATAAGAATTATTAATATCTTGGGTCACTATTTCTGAGAAGTATACTTTCTGGGATTTAAAATATATATACCTTTCTCTAAAATGTTTCAATTATTGCCCTAGCCGACTTGGCTCAGGGATAGAGCGTCAGCCTGCGGACTGGGAGGGTCCCGGGTTCGATTCCAGCCAAGGGCACATGCCTGGGTTGCGGGCTTGGTCCCCAGTAGGGGGCATGCAGGAGGCAGCCGATCAATGATTCTCATCATTGATATTTCCATCTCTCCTTCTTCCTTCCTCTCTGAAATCAATAAAGAAATATATTTAAAAAAATAAAAATAAATACAATGTTTCAATTATTGTAAGTAGAATATAATTTTTATTTTGTAATTTAAAAATAATCAGTACAGTATTTGATTGATTTAATCAATAAAATATGCCTTCTATGGTAGGCATCCTCTAAGATGCCCTCTGATTCTCCCCCTTCCTGGTTCTTAGACCATTGTGTAATATCCTCCCTTTGAGAAACTTACCTCTAACCAACAGGATATGGCAACATGGAGGGGATGAATTTCTATGATTAGGTTGCAGAAAACTGACTGCTGTCTTGCTAGTACTCTGACTTTCTTACTAGTAACTTGCATGCTTTGATGAATTAAGCAACCATGTTAGAAGGGCCCACATGGCAAGGAACTGAAGGTGACCTTCAGCCAACAGTCCTTGAAGAACTGAATGCTCCATGCACCCTGGACTGACTGGCTTTGACTGCAGCCTTGAGAGAGATTCCTGACCTACAGAAGTGGTGAGATGACAAATGTGTATTGCTTTAAGCCACTAAGTTTTAGGGTAATTTGTTATGCAGCAATAGGTAACTAATTTACTTTCTTTATAAAAGTAGTGGATTTTTGAGACATCAATAAATCATCATACAAGTTAATATAAAATAGAAGATCTAATATGATTGGCATCAACAAATATCTGAAGTCATGCACATGTATTGTAACCACATCTGTGTCAGAACCATCTAAGGACCCTCAATCTTTTGCAGTCAGGTTGCCTTTCAGGGAAGCAGTGGCTCTAGAGCAGGTTGAGAATATGAGTGTTTGTGTGTTTTGTGTGGGGGTGTCTTTCACAATCAACACCCCCATTTTCAGGCCCAAAGGTGCTTTAGGACAAGGACAACCCAAATAGGCCAAGTCCCCCCTGTCAACTTGAGAAACCCCTTAGGAGAGACCTCTCTGTCCCACCATCAGATTGTCAACTGTCGCAGGCTGGATTCCTCCTCCCGTGTCTTCCCCCATCTTTACCCCCTAGCTCAGAACCCTGCTCACAAAGGGGCTCAGATGATGTGAAAAAGAGGCCACCAGACGGCACAAACTCAAGAATAGAATAGAAACACACAAACTCAAGAAATGCATTTCTCTGCTCCAGTTTATTCATCTTGGCTCAGACTCAACATGCAAGAGCTAGACACAAGTCCCCAGGGTCGCTGTCTCAGCCTCACTTCCCATTGCTTTCACCCACCCACCCACCTAGAGATAGAAAGAGCCCCCACATTTTACAGATAGGAAGACTGAGAGCCAGAGGTAGGATCAGTGACCTCCATGCCACTGCTCACCCATTAGGATCTTGCAACCTCTTGGCTCCCAGAAGCAAAACAGAGAGCTTGGCTACCTTAGTCTTTGGCTCTCTCCAGAATTCACCAGCTCTCCACCTCACAGAGCTTCTGCTGGAGCCTGTCAACTCCCATTTAGAGGGCCATTCAGTGATGAAAGGGGGTATGACTCAGCATCCTAAGAGTTTACAGGGGGAGGGCTGACCCTGCCCTCTGCCCACTCTTGAAAGAACTGTGGCTCCTCCTGGCACAGGCAGTCTGATTTCAGGGAAAAGAACCAAACTAATTCAACATCGAGTGCTGCTAAATCCAGAGAGGCACAGCAAGTAGAGGCACACAGACAGAAGCGAGATTTTACCCAACAGCCTGGGAACACTTTGTCCATTCCTTGCAAGCTTATTAGCACACATTTCTTTTCATCAGAAGCTTAAATCAGTATGGTCTGTAACAGCTCCTTTGCAGTGGAGAGGAGCTGGTTTGTGGTTTGTTTGGAACTGGCATTTAAGAATTCCCGCCGAGACCAGTTTGGCTCAGTGGATAGAGCGTCGGCCTGCGGACTGAAAGGTCCCAGGTTCAATTCCGGTCAAGGGCATGTACCTGGGTTGCAGGCACATCCCCAGTAGGAGATGTGCAGGAGGCAGCTGATCAATGTTTCTCTCTCATTGATGTTTCTAACTCTCTATCTCTCTCCCCTTCCTCTCTGTAAAAAATCAATAAAATATATTTAAAAAAAAAAAAAAAAAGAATTCCCCAACTCCTATTTTTCACAGGGTTCTACCATGATCATCTCCACAACCCCATCTCCCACATGCTGGGAGGCAGAGTTCAAGAAAGACAGTCCCTGTCTTCTTCTCTAATGCCACCCCCACTCCTGCCATCGTGTCAATCACCACCCCCAGCTCCCCTGCCTGATACTAATTCTCTACCAACTGCTCTGGCAAAATTGCAGCCAAAAAGCCTTGACAGGCCAAAGCGGCTACCATCTACAGCAAATCCATGGTCAGGGACAACAGCCTTAGCAGAGCAAAATCTAGGAAGAGTGAGGGGAAGGTGAAGGAGGGGTGGCCTGGGAAACCCCAAGAAACCCTCTTTCCATGGAGCAGTGGGGCCCTGTGGAGAAAAAAAAACTATAGCAGGTCATGGGTAACATAGGGTGTGGACGGATGCCCCACATGTGCAATTGAATATATATTTGTACACCCTTGCTCAGGAGTCTGCCTGCAAATACATGTTCCTAACATACACTTCCCAGGCCTCACCAGCACACATGCACCCCTATTTATAGGCCTACACAAACAAGAGTTCACTCATATACACCCACCACAAGCCTCAACATTCAAACCTACTCATTGGCACACACTTCTTTTGTGTATACAGTTGACCCATGAGCAATGAAGGTTTTAGGAGTGTCGATCCCTGAAACAGTCAAAAATCCATGTAGAACTTTTGACTCTCCAAAAACTTAACTACTAATAGTCTGCTGCTGACCGGAAGCCTTATGGATAACATAAATAGTCAATTAACACCTATTTTGTATGCTATATGGATTATACACTGTATTCTTACAATAAAGTAAACTAACCAAAATGTTATTACTCTCTTACACATACACCATACATACATAGATGGACACATTCACACAGGCCTGCACATAATTTAGGCTGTGTATATATACAGCACACATAAGCTGATGCCTGGCACATGTTAGCACATACATACTCACTTATGCTTACCTGCACTCATACCAGCTAATCATATACTTGTACACAATCTCACACATGCCTGCAAATATATACATATACCCAGAGAGGCACACTCTTAATCCTAGTCCTAGGGCCTGGACGGTGCTGCCTTATGTTGGAGACAGCGGATAAGCTCCTTTCGGTTGTCTAGGATGGTGTCGAAGCTCTCCTGAAGGCGGGCCTGCTGGTCAACCAACTGATGCTGCAGGCCTCGGATCCACTGGAGCAGGGCCAGGCGGCGGTACATCACCAAGTGCATGTGGTGTTTCTCCTTCTCCTGCTCTTTGTAGCGCTCTTGAGCCTGCAGCTTCTGCACAGCCTGGGCCACCGAGGGCAGAAGGGGATCTGAAGGCCCAGGGCCGTGAGGAGTCCCACAGGAAGGCTCAGGGCTGCTACTAAGGCTGTCAATGCTCAGGGAGCTGCTGGCATAGCCATTGTCCTCCAGAGGGGAGCAGATTGTGCCGGTACCACTTATCTTCTCAGGCTCAGCTCTGGGGATCTCTGCTCCCTCTGGTGGGCTGCGGAGCTCCCCCTCAGGGAGTCCAGGGTCCTGGAAGGCCTGGTTGTCAGAGGGCAACTCGGAGGAGCTCCTCATCAGGATGGGCTCCACTCGGTCTGGCATCCCATGCCAATTCTCATTGGCGTCCTTGGCACTCGCCATGAAGTTGGAGTTGCTGTCTGGATGAAACTCAGGCTGACATACTCCAGGAGGTGGGCCCCCCAGCAACTGGCCCCCCTCAGCTACCCCTGGCTGGATGGCGAACATCTGGTCTGCAGAGGGGAAGCAGAAGAATGAGTCAGAGCAGGACAGGGTGGGTGTCCTGACAGAGTGGAGGCAATCAGCAAGCTGCTCCTCCTCCAGTCCCTTTCCCTGTACTCTGGTAACACCTCCCTTCCTGGTTTTCCTCCTCCCTTTCTGTCTGCTGCTTCTCAGTCTCCTGCACAGCGTTACCCTCAGCCCTCTGAGGCAGGGTGTCTTCTCATTCGATGCACTTCTCCCCAGATGACCTCATCCTCTGCTGTAGCTTCAAGGAGCATCATGTGTTGGTGACTCAGATCTGCCTCCAGCTCAGATCCAGCTGCTTTCCAACCCTGCAACCAACCACAGGCTCCTCAAATTCTACGTGTCCAAACAGCTCTTCCTCTTCAGTGACCTCGGCAAACTGGCCCCACTCTCCATCCGGCATTCTAGTCAGACACTTGAGAGCATCCTGGACCCCTCACTCTGCTTCCTTTCCCATCTCACTGGCCACGAAATTCTGAGAAAAACACCAAACCCTCTGTGTGTGTAGGTACATGCAACTCTCCTCACTTTCACTTGGTTTAGGCCATTTCTTACCTGAACTACTGACTGCCACAGCTTTTTCTCTGATCTCTCTGCCTCCAGTTACAAATGTAAATTTGATTCATCACAGCTCCCTAAACTCCTGCTAAACTTCTACATGGCCTACAAGGCTGTGCTTCATCTGGCTCCTGCTCATCCCTCCAGACTTGCCTCTTGCCACTCTGCCCCTCCTGCCACACCAAACTGCTCAGAGATCTCAGAAATGCACCATTACTCTCCTCCTGCAATCCCCTTGGCCTACGGTACCCTTCCTCTCCCCTCCCCTCTAAGGTCCTTCCTTCTCCACCCACAAATTCCTTTTTATACTTCAAAACTCAGCTCTAATATCCCTCCCCCATCTCTGAAGCCACCCTGCCCCAATATACACAAACACACACAGTTAACTGCCTTCCTCTGCCCTGGGTACACACTGTCTAATTCATGTTTGTTTGTTTCTTGTCCCCAACACATAATGGGTGGTCAGTAAATGTCTATTCAATTTTTTAAAAACTCTCTTGTAAAAGCAGCTTACAAATCCAGCTCCCAGACTAGATGGGGAACTCCTCTATATATCCTCCATCATATTCCCAGGAGCCAGCATGGAGCTTGGCACTAGCAGGTGTCAGTCCATACTTGCTGGGTGAGTGAGTGCAGGAGAGGGTGGGCTGAGTGGGATATCTGTGCTCAGGAAGAGCAGCAGGAGGCGCCTGCCGGCTGCTCAGGGCTGGCCCCGCTGGTCCAGTTCCTTCCTCTGCCCAAGGAGGACCCCACCTCCCTATGGACAAGCCTCTTGGACTTTGCCTCCGTCCCTCCATACCTACTATCCTGTATCCCTGCCCCTAACTTGCTCCATCTTGATGTCCCGGAGGGAGGACATACAATTCTTTCCTCCTCAATAACCCCCTTCTACCAAAATTAGGGTTTCAATTGACGAGAGGTTTCTCCTGCCCACTATCACTAGAATTAGAAAATTCGGGTATCAGTAAGAGTGAGACATAAGGTAAGTGACAGGGACCCTCCCCACATCCAGTAGTGGGCAGAAGTCTTGGGGTGGGGGTGGGGGATGGTGTAGGGACAGATCCTTTATAACCTTCACACTCTCCGCTAAGCGAGGCGCCTGGAGATCTTCCCCACCCAAATGTTTCCTTTTTCCTAAACTTGGGCGGGGCGTGAAGGAAGCTGGGATGTGTTGGTTGGTGGTGTTACGAATCGCGGGGGTCTCAGAGACGGTAAAATGGGAACCCAGACACCCCAGAATCGGGTTTCTCTCTCTAATCCGCAACTTGCCGGGGTTTGGGGGGTGGTGGGGAGGTCGCTCTGTGAGGATGGGGGCGATCGGCCTCCCGCCCTGCCTAGCCTTGCGGGAAAGGGAGACTCCCCAAGACAGAGAGTAGATACCATCCTTCCCTAATTTCCCCATAGGAGGCAGCTGAGCGTAGGCTGCGACTTCCCTCCTGGCCCCCCAATCCCTACGGCTGAGCCCCAACCCTCCCCCTGGGGCCCCCGACTCACGGCCTGGAGGCGCCCGCCCCGGCACCGCCAGCTCTGGTTCCACTGGCCCCGCGGCGGGAATCGCCCCTCCGGGCTCGGGGTCCCGTGGCCTGGGCGTCCACGCGGGTCGGGCGTGGGGTGCAGGGTTCCTGAGCTGCGCTCCCAGCTCCAGGCGTGGACTGCGGAGCCCGGCGGCGTCAGCGCGTGGGGCGGGGCGGCCTGGCCCACGTGGGCCGGTCCGGTTTCCCGCGGAGAAGCGCAGCCCTCCGCCTCCCCGCCTGCGCCTTCCGCAGCCTTGGCCGAGGCCTGGCAGGTCCGGTGTTAGTTCCTAACCGCCCTCACTGGGCGCCTCTCTGCAGAGAGAGTGACAGTCTCAACATGAAAATCTGGGCATGCCACCACCCGCCTGCCTAGAACCCCTGATGGCGTCCCCATTGCGGGGTAAATCCTTCAGGCAGCATCCTCCGGGCTCTGAGCATCCGTCTTTCCCGCGTCAGCCTTTGAGCTCCATCTCTGCAGTCGGGCCTGCGGCTCCGTCCTGCCATGCGGCTGTTGCACACACTGTTCCTTCTGCTGAACATCCCCTTCCCCCTCTCATATTTTAGACCTCTTCTCAGATCAGCCTTCTCTGGTACTATCCCTGAGCACTTTGTTCCTTTTCTTCACAGCATTTATCACCGTTGGAAATTATGTATTCATTTTGTGCTTATTTAATGAAAGGTACGTTTTTAAGAGCAGAAAGAACACCTGCTCTGGGACAGGCATGGTGCCAGTGCAGTGAGCTCTCCTGTTTGTATTTACTGAAGCCTGACCCCCTCACTCCCTTCCTCCTTGGGGGAACCGGGTAGGGTTTGGTGGTTCAGTTTGCAATCAAAGAGAACAGAGGAATTTCTGGCTTCAATCGTAAAACCAAAAAGCACTGGCTGGTGTGAAGTAAGTTAAGGTTTCTTATTTTAAGTTCCCGGAAAGAAGACTGGGACAAATTTAGCCTTCAGGGCACATGAGCTTCCAGGGGGGTCCCTTCCACACCCCGGTTTTATTGAACAAGCTATGCAATTGGCTACACCTTCCTCATGTACCCCCAACCCCATTCACCCCATTTCAAAACTAAACTAATACGGATTCATTGTTTTTTTTTGTTTGATTTTTTAATATATTTTTATTGACTTTAGAGAGGAAGTGAGAGTAATAGAAACATCAATGATGAGAGAATCACGATTGGCTGCCTCCTGCACACCCCCCACTGGGGATCAAGCCTGCAACCTGGGCATGTGCCCTGACCGGGAATTGAACCTATGACCTCTTGGTTCATAGATTGATACTCAACCACTGAGCCACACCGGCTGGGCTCATTGTTGAATAATACAGTTAAAATATCTTGTCCCATCTCTCTCTCTCTCCTAATTTTTTGGGAGGTAACCAAAATTCTTAGTGGCCCTGTTTCAACAAGGCTATTAAAAATATAACAAATAAATAAATAAATAAATAAAATACCTTGTCTTGCCTGGCCTGAGTGGCTCAATGGCTGAGTGTCGACCTATGAACCAGGAAGTCACGGTTTGATTACCTGTCAGAGCACCTGCCCAGGTTGCCGGCTCCATCCGTGTGGGGCATGCAGGAGGCAGCCAATCAATGATTCTCTCTCATCATTGATGTTTCTATCTCTCACTCCCTCTCCCTGCCTCTCTGAAATCAATAAAAATATAATTTAACAAATAAATAAAATACCTTGCTTTCCTTCATCCCTTTCTATTGCTTTTTTTTTTTTAATGAGAAAGAATTCAACTCTGTGATCTCTGCTGGGACATCCTCTTCCAGTTTCAACTTGATTCAAACTCACCATTCTGCTACCTCAAGATTAAATGCAAATTAAATCACTCCAACCAATCCTATATACAAAAATAAAGGAGATGGAAGAGGGGAGAAAAACCATTTTATATTATGACATTTTCTATTTTTAAGAGGAAAAAGGAAATAAAAAGGAGAAGGCAAAAGTAACTGAAACTTTGGATACTCCCCCAGCTTAGAATATTCAGGTGGAGACCTCAGGTCTGAACTGAGTTTCCCTTTTCCTTTACCCAGTGCAAGCTCCCCTTGCCTTCAGCCACAGAGTTTTCTTCCTTGTGAGGTGACCCAAATCTTCACTCCTGAAGGCTCTGGGCTTCGATGGTTGGGATTATGCAGCTCTCCCCAAGCTATACAGCCATAGTCACCTGATTGTTTGGTGGGCCCAGAACAGCTCCTCCCCACTTCTCCTTTGGCTCTGTCTCTCCCAGCCCTAACCACGTGGATTAAACAGCAGTCTGATGAGTCCCAGGGTAGGACTGCGCCCTCCAGGTGAGTCAGTCTTTCTTGGGGACTTGCTGACATAAAATGAAAGGGAGACAAAGCAGGGAGATGTGAGCCTAGGGCTGCAGCAATCACATTTCCTGGCAAGTACAAGTCAGTGTGTAATAGGAGAAAATGATGCTGACACACAGAAGCAGAGACAAAAGACTGTCCTGGTGATGATCCAGTCCGTTTCCTGAGGCCTTTGTATACCTTCCAATAAGGCCCTTATTTCGCCAAGCCTAACTTGAGTGGGATTTCTTCCGCTCGTAATCAAAAGAACCGTGATTACTAGAACATCTCTGGGCCCCACTCATGCACCTCTCAGTCCTCATTAAATAGTAGCAACTCTATTTCCCCTGGTGGCCATCATCAGTCCAACCTATATGGTAACCTCCTTTCTTCTATTTCTCTAGTATTATGAGGAGCTTGGAATGTAGTGGAATCATCTTTGTGTTCCCTGGTTAGAAACATTCCTCCCAAGATGCTAAAGCCTCCTGACCATGCAGAACCTAGAATGTCAGAGAGAAAGTCATTAGGTACAATCACATAAGGCACCACACCTACTTCTACCCCTTCATATGTGTTCTGGCTACAAAAGACAACAAATTCTGGATTGACTGTTGAGTTAGAGTCTATATTGTATGTGCAGAGCCAGGCTTTGAAGGATGAATAGACGCTCACCGAGAGAAAGCAGGAAAAGACCAAGGAGACCATCTGTGGTATGTGTGTTGAGTGTGTTGAGACAACACAGGGAAGGCCAGTGTGACTGGTACATGTCGGGCAATAGAGGTAGGAGATGAAGCTGGAGGATAAAGTAAGCTAAGGGATGAAAGGTCTTGACGGCTATCCCTTGGAGCTGGGGCTTCTTCCGGGGGGCAGCAGGGAAATAACAGGGATCCCCCAGAGGTTCCTCATCAGAACAAAGCCCAGGCTCCCAGTGCTGGGGTACCAGCCACCTGCTTTATTTTCTTCCTGAGCTCATATCATCTGTCAACCTCCTCACATGGCTTTGGGAACTTAGGCAAATCAAACCATTTTAACCTTTTTAGGTTAAATAAAGATACTATGCCTTGAACGTTATTAAATAACGTTATAATACGAACATTGTTAGTTGGGATCCCAAGACCAGGCACACAGCCTTGGAGAACCTTTGATGTATCAGAGAGCCCTGAAGGCATATTAGAAGGAAAATCATTCCCCAGAATTAGCTCATCTCGGGAAGGAAAGGCCTACAAAGCTGGTGACCTAGTTGTTTTGTTCATCCATTTTCTCCTCAGCCTCTTAAAGGTAAAGTGCCACTCTAGTCTATCAAGAAATTTCTGTGACCATGTTAGGTAAGACAGGTCCACTCCCCACCCCCCATATGGCTGTTTTCTCAGCTATAAAATGAGGGGGGACGTACATCAAATCTGAAGCTAAAAATTTTTTTTTTGAAGGCTTGGAATCTTTTATTTTCGTGCAAAATATTTGCAATACACCCAATTTGAGGTCTCCTTTCTCCCCTGAACACCCCCACCCTAAACAGCTCCTCAGGGAGGGGATGTCCCAGGAAGCTTTTAAAGTTCAGTGGAACAGTTTCAAGTCCACTGCACCACATGAACTTGGGAGATGAATCCCGCCCCAACCTTTCCCTCCACTCCTGGAGGGAAAAGGGGCAAACTGATGGGTGTTTTGGAGCTGTTGGAAGAATGAAATAGACCCTTTTCCCCAAGGCACCTAAGTGGTAAACGTTCTCTCCCAAACTTCTCTTCCACCAGGAGTCCAGAAAAGTCAAATCCAAAGTCCTAAGGCTGTTTGAACACCCCAGAGCACACAGCAATGGGAGTGAGCTACATAGAAAATCTGATCTGAAGGAAGAATGAGAGAAGGGGTGCCTGTTCCACCCCCTTCCTAGCAGCTGCCTCTGTGGGCTCCATAATCCCCATGCCCTCTCCCCCACCCCATCCTCAGGCCGCCCACCTCTCCTCCACCCACCCCATTCATCAGTAGGAGGGCTCAGTATCAGCACAGCCTTTCAGGGCCTGACAGGTCCTTTCTGGGTGCCCCCCACATGTAACCACTTAACCTCTAGCACAAAGGGTTAGCCTGAATGGGCTTGGAGCCGGTGGCTCGTGCAGAGGGGGAGGCCTCAATAGGATTTGGGGAGCTGGGTGTATAAACCGCTCTGCTCCAGCAGCCCTCAATGGAGGAGCAGGAGTCGGGGCATGTGCCGAGGGGAGGAGCCCGGCAGCTGCATCCCGCCCCTGAACAATGATTTATTCATTCTCCTGGCACACACAGAGAACACAGGCCAGGGAATGTGGCCCCACAAATCGCCTTCGGCCTCTGCTGATTCCCATGGCAATCATTCTGTCTAAGAGCGCACCCTCATACTTGTAATTTGTTGCCTAAAGCCTGCAGTTCCCATAAGGAAATAGAGTACATTATGGAAGGCCTTTAGTAGCCTGAAGGTCAGGCAGGCAAACTTTGAATTGGGTCCATCCAGTCACAATCCCACTCTCTGAAAGCTTCCTGATCGGGTTTTTCTCTCACCCATTTCATAGCAAGAGAAACTGATATAGAAGAAGAAAAAAAACACAGAGCTTGGCCTGTCTCAGGCCTGGGGGAAGGAATGAGAAAGAAGCAGGGAGTTGGGGAGCTTAGCCTAGAAATAACTGACAGGTACCTGGAATGCTGGATGAGTTAATGGACGCTAACAAAAGGTGCCAAGTTTGCTGTCCCCACACGTCTCCCCAGCTCCCATCCTCCAGCCACACCTGGCTCCATTTCCTGGGAGAATTTTTGGGAGAACGTTGGGACTAGGGGAGAGAATGAAGACAGGTAAACAATGGTACTAAAATCTATAGATTGGGGGAAAAAATGTTGGGTGGGTAGGTGGTTTCAAGAAGCTAAATTGTGACGAGAATAAATGTGTTTTTCTCTCTCGCCTCCATACCTCATGTCACCAGGGCCAGATCACACACAAAAAAATCACCATAATAAATAAAACTAAAAATCAATAATGTTAGTAGAACAGGGAGAACCAGATTGAAGTGACCATCTTCAGACTGGCCCCTGGGCCTTCTGGCCCCAAGCTCATAATTACCTTGTCACACAGAAAACAAATCTACTGTGGGTGGTAAGTGTGGTGGGCTGGGGATTCTG